CCAAAAATTGTTTTTCTTTTTTATTCGTAAAAAAGTTTTTATTATTTCTATGAATTCGTTAATTAAGAATTTTCATTTTGCTTTAAATATGGTTCTAAATTTTGATAAGTGTCGTGTATGTACTCATAAATTAATTTAAGTAAATACTGAAACAATTTATTAATCACCAAATCACCCAAATCTGTACTGTTAAGAAATTCATCCATTAAAGGTAGAAAACTTTCGCAATCACCGTCTGAAATTAACAAGCAAAACTCATAAATAATAATAGCTAATAGGATACAAAGAAAACTGAAGCATTTACCGATCAGATGGCACAATTCAATTGACTTGAAAAATAAAAGAGTTTGTATATAATTGAAGACATTGTCGACATCATATTCAATCAGCGTAATATAGCAGCGCACCACACTTTATAAGGAGGTCGAACGGATCACCTAAATAGTTAAGCAATTCCAAGGCTTTAGCTAAAATGCGCGTAAGACTTATTAAAAGTATATAGGCCGATTTGGGATTAAAAATTCGCATACAGTGGAAAAACGGTATACCACAAGAGCTTTGTCGAAATTTATTCACATCCGAAAAAAGATCCACTTTAACGATAACATTTACTTCACCACGTTTGCCGTGCATCGACTGGAAAAACTGGAATCCATCCGAAAAGAACCGTACCTTTGTCATGTGTAGCCGGACTAAATAACTCTAAGCAAAGAGGATTCAAACTGATATTTACTTTTCCAATGGAGTAGCTAACAAGAAAAAAAAGTTGGTCTAGCATAAGGATGGGGTTTGCTTACGTAAATGAGATAACTTCTTTTACGATGGCGAGAAAAAATATTGGCGTGAGCGATGAGACAGTCAATCTGCTTTGGGGAATGAAGAAAACAGCTCTTCAGTTCATGTATGTAAAGTAGACTTACTCAAAAATAACTCAAAAACGCAATGTCAGTTGCTAACAGTAGAAACACAAATCATCCCAGAAATTGATAATTAGCAATTTTTAAAATGGGTTTAGTTTATCATCACACGATTCTTGAAACAACCGTTCATCGCTCTAATGCTCGCAAAAAAAATGTTAATTAAGCGAAGTGTTCGCGAACGAATTAAGGGATAATGTCACAGCGTGCATCTTTTGACCAAATTTTGCTTGGCGGTGTAAGCTCCCACTAATGATGCTCAAGAGTGATATCCAAAAGGGAGTCGAAAATTTTATGTGCATAAAAAGATTTTTTTTCTTTTGAACAAAATCACTATTAAAACGACTTAAATCTAACTGTACTTAATTCATATTTTTCTCGAAGTTTTGAGATCGCTGCCCTTCAATTTTTAACTCTCAGTCGACTAACTTCGAATTTCAAGTGCATTTTTATAAGAACATTCTCTAGTGACAAGTAGGATTTTTGTTTGGTTGATATTATTACCTAAATCCTGTACATGTATCGACACGAACTTGTACGACTCAGCGTCTCGTGACAGTTTTTCTTTAGACAAAACGGAAATGAACGAACGATAGGAACTAAATCAGAATGTTAAGCTTCGCATATATTCACTTAAGGTTCTCCACTTTCATTTTCATTCATTTTATAGCTAAATTAATATAATTCAGTTCTCCGCCGCTAGAGTAGAACTAGAGCGTCGCTCATATTACTTATTTTTCATTCTATTAACAAGGAGCAGTTCTAATACTTTCTTTTTTATACCGACTGCACATTATATATTAGAGTTTCTAAATATAAGCAAAGTATAGAAATATGCTACTGCAGTCCTGTTGGATATTTTACTTTTAAGCCGCGTCATTAGTCGATTATAAAATAATGTTAATGGTTTCTGAAAATCAAGTAAATTGACTATAGATAGCAGCGAAAGCTGATCGACTGAACTTTTTCGTTTCGCCGGGGTATGTCCCATTAGATTAAAATATATATTTAATACCTTGGTCAAAAAATGAGACGAGCCTTTGACCATCACTTTAAAGTTTATGCTTGATAAAACTGTTATTAACATTTCAAAGGAGTTCCTTGTCATATGGCTTAGTTGATAAACTGAAGTCTTTCATAACTACTGGAAATTGTCTGTTTTTGGATCGTAAACATAGATGAATAAAAAAAAAAAATTTGTGACATTGTTTTTTCCTTTTAGAAGAAATTGAGTTAGTTTGGATCTGAGCAAGATTCCGAAACATTTAGTCAAAAGTTGTTTAAAATGAAGGAAATTGCTTGAAATGGTATACCATTATCGTCTCTACATATAAATCCCTAACATTTAACCATGTATCAGTGCTGACAACAAAAACCTAAGTTTTTTGATACTTTTATCGATTATTGCGATTTAAGGCCTTTCCGGACGTGCCTGGCTTTCAACTGTTTCTCTTCCAGTTTAAAGGTCTTTGCATCGTCGACCCTTTGATTGTACTATTGCCTAATCACTATGACACTATTTTAATAATTTCAACGAATCTGTTATTTTTCCATTTTGAAAACCCTACAAAAAGACTTACAACAATAACAAATCGAATAACTTGAAACTTCTATCAGATGTTAAGGACAGTTGTACGGGACAGTGTTAATACGCGGAGCGCGCATACATTTTAGAGACAGACTTGTCTTTGGTCCATAAGCTGGGCAAACATTTTTATAATGTATGTCCACGTTTCTGTGTGTACTGCGATACTGTACTGTTCATAACGTTCGTTTGGGTTGTCAGCTTCTCTTCAGCCTGCCAGCAATGCAGCCCCTGCGCTCTTGTTAATCTCTGATTATTTGCCCCTAGAAGATTTTTCTTCTTAATAACTACCATTTACCCCCAGACTCATTATCGTATTTGTTGACTTCCCTCTTCTTATCTATAAGCAAGATTTTCACTTCACTAGTTATTTCAACTTCATTATCGTCATTATATCAAAGATTGGCAATTTTGGCAACATTTAGTGATTTAATACGCACTAACAGTTCGTACAACTCTAGGCAACAACAAAACATATAGGTCCTCGTCTTTGAAACAAGAACAGATGTTTTTGATCTTGGCAACAGCAAAACATTTCAAATTATTGAAGAGCATTTTAAATTAAATACCATCTATGAAGAAATGATGAAGGTATTTTTATAAAGGATTTATAAAGAGAGTAGAAATTACAATAATTTTTTTAAAAGTCAGTCTAATGTTTATTTTTATCGTTCTAAATGTTTGCCGTATTTGACATTTTACTACCTAAACTAAATGGAAGATAGTTTAAGACCGGCTATGCGGCCACCAACTAATTTAAAAGAATGTTTTGAGCGTTTACCGAGACGGATTTGATCCTCGTTACACTTTACCCGTCATATAAAATTACGAAAGCCTATGCAGTTGTTGGAAGACCATGAGCGTTTTCAAGAGATTGAAAAAATTTGTTCTTTGGAACTGTTGGAGGTTTTTGATCTCGCTCGCGTATCTTTTACAAATCTGCCAATAGATGCTTTGTCATTCCTTAGCCAATTCTTTCAATTCTTTGAAAATTATATAAGTCAGGCATGCTCAATGCATCCTCCTTAATGTAACAATGCTTGACTTTTACTTTGACATTACAATTTTAATTTATATTTTACGAATTTCAATGCAATTTATTCATATAAATTTAATAACATTTTTTTCGGCAATTTGAACGATTGGGATACTTTTAAAACTGTATCCCAATGACCACTTGTTATGTCCTGAACAAAGCCATCAACGCTGTCTAGGGTATCTAAAGACACAGCAGTTTTCTCTTGCAAACTTTGCAAACTCATATATATATTAGACCTTTGAGTTCAAAATCTTTCAAAACTTTTTCCTCTTGTGTGTGTACACATCAGGCGGCAACATAAATTGATAATTTTCTTTTTGCAAGGCAGAATATAATACATGCCCACTTTTCAATTAAAATTTCCATATTTTTTCAAAAATAAGCAAAAGAATTGAAATAAAAAATATCTGATCACTTTTTACACGTGGACAGTGCCATTGTGAATTATAGCACATTTTGCATTGTTGTTGTGCTGCTCAAGTGCAATAAAATGATATATGTATAGGCCCCGTTTTTTAACGATCTTTCTATCGCTATTTATGTAGAAATATATTGGGAAACATAAATTAGCAATTTTATTCATTTATTTATTTTATTCATTCATATACACGATATAAGCCGTAAGGGCCGAAACGTTATAGTATATTCATCCCAATTCATAAAGCAACTAATGAAGAAAAATATCACCATCTAAAAGATTCAAATATATGGGAAAGAATTCCAGTGATAGTCACTACCAGTTTGTCCTTATTGTCTTTCAAATATAATAGCAAACTGCAAATCTGAAAGCATCTCTTCTGCATTGACTAGATATGTAATAATAGAACACCAACATGATTTGAAAGGCAAAAAAAAAAAACATAAATATCAAATATTTAGTTAAAGAGAAGTTTAGGTTTAACTACAAAAAACGAAAGACAGCTCTAAATATAGATGAGTGACATAACGTTGACAATAAAGGAAAACAAAACATTAGTATTGTCTGTTCATTTCAACGCAGAATAATGTAAAGTAGTATATAAATAATTGAATTAATAAAATTCTTGCGTGTGCCTTGAAGCAGATTTTATTTAGGGATTTGTGTACTGTTTATTATACGTTTACGACCATTTCTAAGATGTGAATGATGGATAAACAAACATACACAACATTTCGGTTTAACATGTTGGCTCAGGCAAATGCCAGCACTGGTTTATATAAACGTGTAGAAAAAAATATGAAAACTTTTAAAATGTACATAAAAATTTAACTTTTTAGCAGTAAAATTGAATGTTTTTATACACTTTATTACCGGCTTATAATTAAGAGCAGCCAATAGTTTACCTTCACAAAAAATAATAGATTTAATTTTTTAGCTTAGTTTGATTGATATTAAACAAACATACAACTTTCAAACGCACATAACACTTTTAATGTTGCCACGAAATCTACGGAGTTTTCAAGATTATAATATTCTCACCTTGTTTTATCCCAAGGAGCTCAAAAAAATCTTTTAAGGAAATTGTAATTGCACAGCAAAATTGTTAACGTTCACTTTATTACAGAGAACAATTCGATTATATCATTTGTGCATTCACATTTGCATGAAGTTATCAACACAAATTTCGCATACACATGATTTTGCAAAGACTGTATAGAGAAACGCTAAACAAAAAATGTGCCATACAGGAAGATAAAATAAAATAAATAAACAGATGTGACAATAAAAGAGTAAAATTTTCGGTTTGATCGTATTTTTGTTAAAATGGGGATTGTGATATGCTAGATTTATATTTTTTACTTTAAAAATAAAAAATTAAAAAAGACAAGAAAATAAATTTAACATGTTTCTCGAAACATGTTAAATGTACGAGTTATTACAAGTGGTGTTAACGCACATTAACGTTTTATTTTTTTGAATAATTTCATATTGTCATGCCAATGACTTAATTTTCCCGAAAAGTTTCCTTATTTTTAAAAAAACAAAACGGACGATCAATAAAACCAAAGTTATGTCAAGATCAGAAATATTCATATAAATTGAAGAGAACGCAGTAAATTATTGAAACAAGATTTTTTACTGTAGTAATCATAACAGTGCTCTTCACTTATATGAAATGCTGCACTCTCTGTTAAGCGCATATATTATACAATTGAAAGTTTATAAATAACAATTTAACATTATTTTAAGACGTCTTTATTTTCAATATGATTTCTACTCCCTATAAAAAGGAAGATTGTTTTGAAAGTGGCTTTTTAACACCGGTACGCTGTAAGTTCCCACTGAGTGTCTTTTTTTATTCTGTTTGCTTAAATAGTTTTGTAACACAGTTTTGGAAAGTACTCCTCAGGTTCCCAGGCAACCCATAAACACCGATTCAAACATAGCTATCTTTCGAGCTCGCTTAGAATTAATAGTAAAAACAACGCAGGACAATTTTTCTAAATGGTTAGTGGCTGAAAAACGTGGCCTGGCTTTATGCAACACTATAGAGGCTATCAAGACAGGGACATTATTAACAGCGATTAATGAAAACGACAAAACCGATTCCACATTATATCCCAAAGATTTGATAGATCGCTACCAAAAATTATCGCTTATAGTAGGCGTATTTCAAGACGTTGTCAACAATGTTAAAGATTCCGTAAAACAAATTGAATCATTAAGAAAATTGCCAAGAAGTAATAGTGAGATCTTGTATCGTTCTTGGTGTTTAGATCACTTTGCCGATTTCTTGGTAGAGCTTTCCCAGAGATATAATGAAGAATACAAAATTAAAAAGCATGTTTTGGGTAAGAAAAAGAGAGTTGTGATACATTTTTTCTTTCAGGAAAATTCTTTTTTAGAAAACTTGCCTCACTGCTTTTGTCAAGCTGACTTAATACGTTGCGTTTCGGCTTGGGAATATCCCGAATATGTGGACTCATTTTTATACCTTATGTTTTTATTTCTTAATGAAGAATTGAATGTTAAAAAAAAATAAATTTTCAAGGAATTCATAAAACTGATGATTTATTTAGTATTGGAAATCAAAGCATAGGTTAGGCAAGTTTTAAAGTATTAAAGCACGTTAAAGAAAGCAAATTCCTATTACGTGGACAGCGAATTTACTCAAACTATAAAAGAAATAAGGATTAATTCGTAGCAGCACTTAAAGCAAGGACAGTGAAGCGTAATTCTTGTGGATCACGAGCCATAAATTCTTTGCAAATGCGAGCAGCATCTTGAAGAAAAGACTCATTGTTCGTAGCACCATGTTTAACCGGAAACATCTTACGTCCGTCAAGCTCATATAAAGTATCATTTTTGTTAACAAAAGCGATAAAATGATGATAAACTTCTTCATTAGGATCAGCAACTGTCTGGCCTTCCTGGGCTAAAGCTTGATGACTTTCGCGTAGGGCTCTATCAGTTTCTAAGGCCTTTCCCCGTTCTTCTGGTGTCATATCCTTCGACATTTCTAAGAAATCTTTCAGAATGCCATCGTCCAACATAATTCTGAAAACGAAAATTATAAGAAAAAAACTATAGGATTTAACTATTAAAACATACTCTTTGTTGTTGGCTATGCTATGAATGAGAGCTATTGTTCCGCAAGCATTATGAGTGAACTGTCGCATATAAAACAAATCATTGGGAAGAGTTTGCCCTTCTTCGGCTAAGCGTTTCTGCTCCTCATCACGGTGTTTCTCATACTGGTTATTTTGTTAGTAAACAAAAAGAAATAAAAATAAGAACTTCTCCAACCTGCAACTTTGTTAATTTACCGTTTCAGAACAAGGGAACAATAATATAATAGATTTAACTGGGCTCGGTATCCATTCCAACATCTCAGGTTCCAGTCCCATTACATCAGTGATTATCCATTCCTTCCTAACCCCAAATGTGTGTATGTATTTGGTCAATACCTAATTTTTCATAAAAAAATTATAAATTGTCCATCAATGACTCATGACGAGGGTAAAAAATATTGTAACTCCGTTATCACCGCTTTTAAGGAGAATTTACATTTTTACTTTAACTCACTTCGGGGTTTGATTCTAACGGAGTCCAAACAGACATATTTTTATGAAAAGAGAACTCAACTTCTGTCGCAGCAAAAATGTCTTAAAAATTCTTTAAAATAATTTTCCTGTTTGTTAGTAAGAAATTCCAAATGCAAATCTTAGGTGGGTCGTATTTATTGACAATGACAAACCGGTTGTAGAGTTGCCAATATTAACTATAGCGATACAGTAGCGCTACGGTAGAACAAACATTGTCAAAGATATCCGATGCCAACCTTCCGATATTTGTTAATGAATAGAATACTTTGATTTAATGTATTGATTAAGCGAAAAGGGAGTAGAAAACTATATTTTGTATCAGTTAATAAAGCCCACAATTTATTTATTACTTGAAATGAAGCCGTACACTATGCGAGTGCTTTAAAAGTCTTATTTATTATTATTATTATTAATTTCGCCAGAGAAATAAATTCTAAGACTAAACTCTTAAAAGCACTAGCATCTAAGGCTATCGGCTTTTATTATTAAAAACTCTACCGCACTTGAGATTCGAACCCCCGACCATTGACTTGCTAGTCGAGATTCCTCGCCTTCGGCTACTCAGGCGGATAAAAAAAAAAAAAAAAATCTTATTTAAGCTTTAATACATATAAGAAAAACCAAATTCTCATTATGCAAGCAGCGATTTTACTGGAATTAAGTTTTAAAATATTAATACAAAGCAACACTCAAAGCTAGAAAGATGTAGTAGTTCGTAATGATAACGATATCCAAATTCGGGTAATTCTAGACTTTTAATGGAAAGTTGTAACACAGTTTGTTCTTCTCTTTCTTAATGACAAAGAGTTACCAATTATTGAAGGCATGCTGTGCTTCTTGCGGTAAGTTGGTTCACATGCATGTTTATATACGTCATTGATAAAAGTTGTGATCATTTTTGATGTATTCAATAAATTCATTAAAACATCAATTAACATGATAACATCTCAGATAAGCGAACAAATGCATATGAATCAATACTCGTTTATATGTTTGAGAACATTATGTTGTAAGGAATCTCAGATGTATTTTAATAATCAGCTATAGGAGCATCTTCTACTTCATAGCTTTGATACAGGCAGTCGTTATTACCAGCTAGATATTGTGTTGTGAATATATTTTTTTACTTGCTTTTTTCTTTTTTTTCATTTAAAATATTTATTAACAAGGAATCGAATTATTTATTAAGTATTTAAATCAAAATATATTTTTGTTATAGTTTTAACACAAGGATTTTATTTTACGAAGAAAATTTTTAATAAAGAAAACTATATTATAGTAATACGATTGTAATAAAACAAAAGAATAAATATAAGAAATTATTTTGATTGTTTTCTTTTTAATGATAACTGTATTTATAATATATGATATATAAAGTATTGTAAAATTTCCTTTTAATAAAAATGCAATTTTTGCAAGAACTTAAAGAAACCTAAATTTGGGCTCTAAAAGTCTTCGTTGTCTTTGATTAATGCTTGGAAAGAAAGATTATCCAAGCTTACCGGCCAACAAACGCTATATACAATATCCATATACAAAAATTCATTCTTAAAGATAATTTTTTTTTGTGATTGACTTAAACTATTATAATTTGGCCACAATTGAGAGAAAGCGTCTGAATTTGTTTCCAATTGAGAGTAAGCGTCTGTATATGTTTACAATTAAAAATAATTCAAAAAGTTAGTCTGTATTTTTTAACAGCTGTTGCATCGATTCTCCTGGCAACCCTGTACGAAATAGGACGCTCTTATTTCTGTGCAGAAACTTTTTCTCTCAAAAACTTTCTTTTTCGAAAACTACTGAGCTCATCAAGGGCATACGTAGTCGATTTGCGATATTTGCACAAAATCGACAACAATCTCAACACCTTTGTGCTTCTAAGCAGTGCAAGCAGCGATTCCGCCTTTCACTAACCTCAATTTTGCGGCAATCACAAATCAACAAAATTTTCAATATCTTTGTGCTCCTACGTAGGAGCGCAGCACCATCTACTGTATACAACATCATCCCAACAAAACCGACTCTGTCATTTCACGACTACACTGACATCAAGTGGCGCCGATCTTAGCTGAATTTCCAAACCTTTTGGTTTACCAGACTTTTCGTATCCCCTGTCGCAGTCAGCTTAAAGGGTACCTGCTAATTTGCTTATCGCTTTTGTTTCACGACAAGTTAGTTGATTTTTTTTCCTTTGCCTATAATCCAGCACGAAAGGTAAAAATCGCCCGCCCTAAAAGGGGTTGAGGCAAAACAAAATTGATTTCGAACGATGAACATTTCAAAAATTTTGTTCGAACTACGCAAAGTAGAGCTTCTTCTAAAAGAAAAATGTCAAACCAAAAAAATAATTTGAAAAAAATTATCATTGATAAGGAAATTTCACCCTTAAAAGACTTGTCTGTGGATTGCAATACCACCCCACCAAACTCTCTGATCCTTCCCTCCACCAGTAATCTCTCCTCTCCCAATAAGAGCGGGGCTGAGCATAGCAATAAAAACAGCAATTCGATAACAGAAAAGAACTCTCACCCTTCAAGTCGAAATGTTTACGGTGATGACGTGACTTGTGAGTCCTACGTCTTCATTAAAGCTAATCCCAATAACCCAGACGAGCCTTTTCGTCTCAACTCTGACTTATTTTTCTTTCAATATATCAAAGATTTCAAACTGGATGGATTGACTAATATAAAAACCTTCAGCAATGGCAAAGGCAAACTCTGTTTTGCCACTGCTGATGATGCAAAAAATTTCATTTTAAAGAACAATTTCCACTCAAAGTCAAGCAAGGCTTATATTCCTAAAATATTTACCGAAAAATTCGGAATTTTTAAAATATTCCACCCACAATCAAGGAAGAGGACTCAAGGAAGAGTCAGCTAACTCAGACATCGAAGTCCTGTCAGTTACAAGACTTCACAAGGCATTCTACCAATAGAGAAAATTTTATTCCCACTAACAGCCTTAAGATTGGCTTTAAAGGTAAACTAATCCCTAAATCTATAAGATTTAAATACTGTAACATCCCGGTTGATTATTTCATCCGCCCGGTCAAGCTATGCTATAACTGCGGCCGTGTTGATCATATCGCAAAATAGTGTAAAAGTAAGGGAGGCAGATGCTTAAATTGTAGCAAGACACCGGCTTGTCCTTACAGCTATATGTTTGGTTTATGGGTCTTTGGACCACAACGTAACCTTTCGCGATTGTCCTAAAAGAAAGAGAGAAGAAAATTTAAAAGAATCCTTACTATTCAAAACTAATCCTTCGTGAATATAAGGAAAAATTCTTCAACAACCCGGCGTTGAAGGATAGCACTCAATCCAACAATATTAGGGACCCTACTCCCGAAACAAACATTTTAATTAAAAAAAATTTCAACGCGGTTGTCAAAAATAAAACGTGTATTCCCAAACCCATGCAAAGAACATCTCACAAGGTGCCCTTAACTCATAGCAGCAACACATATGAGCAAAAAAAACTCCCCCTTCCTGATGAAAGGAACACATCCATCAATAATCGCAAATCTACTGAAATGGAAATGATTTTGGAAAAGATCTTCAAAATTCTTACTACCACTCATCACGAAACAAATTTCAAAACTATACAGGAAGAAATACTCACCCTCAAATCAGAAATTGATCTCTTAAAACAGAGTCCATCTGAGCTAGGCTCAACATGCCCTACTATCTCTCAATGACCTCCTTTCTACAATACAACATACAAAGCTTCAGGCTGAATGCCCATTCGCTTGATTATTTCATAAATTCCAACCGAACTGATTTCGCCATCTTGAGTGAAATCTTTCTGTTCGACGACAACATTTCCGATCTCAAAATCTCAAATTACAGCTCCGCTTATAAATGTAGAAGCGACGGCTATGGAGGTGTTGCCATCCTTGCCAGGAAAGACATCTCCTTCAAACAAACCCCGTTTAAATCAGCTGCTGACATTATTATTGTCAAAACCTCTTCCCTAAAAACTAATATTGTTATTGCTGCTTGCTATTTCAAACCTAACACCCTTATTCAATCTTTCCGGGATGACTTTAATCGCCTCTGTGATATGCTTGATAGCTTCCACAATGTCATAATTGCAGGAGATTTTAATGCAAAACACCCTTGCTTTGGTGACTCCGTGTCAAACAATAAAGGCAAAGCCTTGCAAGAAATCATTGAAGTCAGTAATTTCTATTGTCTCAATGATAATTCCCCAACCAATGTGCACTCTACAACCAACAGTTGTGGTAGCGTTTTGGATCTAACTTTCACTAACGCAACCAATCTTACGTTCAAACGGGAGGTCAACAAATTATTTTCTGGGAAACAGTCACCCCCTTCCCATTCTCTTTAGCGCCACCTTTATTACCTCTTCCAAGATAAATGATTTTATCTCGAGGAAAAAACTCCTAAACAATCTTATGCACAAATGTCTTGAGCCACAGGTCGAGTCCATTCAGTGCTCATTTCAACGAGAAATAAATGAAGTTAAACCGAACATCCAAATCTTCGATTCCTACTCACCAGAACATTGGTGGAACAAGCTGCTCACTGCACAATTCCGTAAATTACAAGCTGCTAAACAAAAATTTTCTAAATACCTTGTCATGAGACTCGTTACTTTCATTGCCGGCTGAGTATTTGTCTTTTTCTGACAAAGAAATAAAAATAAAATAAAAAGAAGAGTCCCGTCGGTTGTCTGCCGTCTGTCTGTCCACTGTAAGTCAGTCGGTCGTCGTCTGGCGTCGGCCCTACATATGCACACCCCCTTTATCCTTTCAGCTACAGCGGTGGCAGCTGTAGCGCTTAACTACTCATCGGGGACACAAAACAACAGGGGAATAAATAACTAAAGTAACTTACAATACAATCCTCTCGCGATGTCGTGGCTGTCTCCTTCGGCGGCTCCTGTCCACGGCAAGGAAGTAGGAAGTTCGTCTTACGTCGTCGGCACAATCACAACACAGCTGGGATGTAGGTGCATGTGGGTGCACGTAGTTCATAAGCTACTGGAAAAGTATTCTTCTTCCTCTTAACACATCTTGATTGAGGCAAACACATTGTTCCTTGTTTTTTTTCTTTTGTTTTTTTTCGATCATTTATTAAACGCACAAATAAAAGATAAAATGTAATAATAGTTCAGGTGCACATCAGTGCTAC